CTGCATGTATGTAGATAGATAAAAACAGCTTAAACTGGGCTTTAGCGAGCACCTCGTTGTGAATAAAAGTTCCTCGCGATAGTCAGTAGTTAGAATGATGGAAATGTTTTAGAAGAATACTTTGAATATTATTACAAAGACATCTATCAATTTATAACAAAAGGGATGGGGTGGTTTCAAAACAACTATAAATTAGATAGCTAAGTAGTGACATTCTGACAACAAAAAACTTTCATATACAAAGTCATAGTGACAGACACATAACTGATCAATAAATAATTTTCAATCACAATCTTTATTTCTGATTTTGTTTCAATAATGGATACCATCAATAATATCACTCCTAACGAAAAGCGAATGCACCTGTTTAACGTGAATGAACTGATTGAACTTTCTATCAAAGAATTTGAAAAAAATTGGTGGCCATTGGTAACAAACATATGGACACAATATAATTCTTATAAACATGTCAATGGCAATTTCTGGAGAGGTTATGTTTGCCACTTGGCTAAGCATCGAGAATCAAGCATGCAACAGGAAGGAGTATTAGTTGATAAGCACAGACAAACATCAGTCTGACCAGCAAATCTTTGTAATGCCAAGATCAAAATCACATGGCTAATATCCTTGCAAGTCATTCAAATCGAACATTATAAGGATTCCCCTGATCATACACATCATATACAAGATGTTGACAGAATAAAACATCCACAAGCGATCTGAGATTTGGTTGAACAGGAGGCTAAGAAAAACTACCTGTCACCTGCAATTGTAAATGCTGTAAAAGAATATGGCACTGACAGCCTCAGCCTCAGCCTCAGTTCAACTGTGTAGAAATTAAAGTGAAAAGAAGTAACGAATATTAAGCATAAAGTTTGGGGAGCAATGGAAATCAATCTCATTGGTAGTGATAATATAGAAACTGATATTTTTGAAGCAACGTCACATTTAGAGAATCAAGGATATCAGGTTAATCATTTTCGTGTATCCTCGCACTCCACTCAAGGCCTTGTTTTCGTGCATTCTGCACAACTCACAAAACTTAGGAATTATGGATGGTTAACGCTGATTGATTCCACTCATAAAACCAACAAATACGATTGGTGTCTTTTCACACTGTATATCCATGATGGTTATGGATGTTGGGACGTCGGGGCACATTTTTTCATTAGTAGGGAGGATGGTGATACAGTTGCGGAGGCAATTAAAATCATTAGATCTAATTGCCAACATTGGATGCCTCGATATATTCTTATGAACCAAAGCAATGTTGAAGCTAATGCAATCAAAAAAGCTTTTCTGGGCTTGCAGGCTGGTGAACAGGAGTGTGTGGAGGGAGTTGTGATTGAGTACCATCTGCATAAATCATATGGACAGTATCCCATATTGATTGTGCAATATGG